TGATTTTTTTCATGAATATATGATTGACCTGAAGAATGAAAGCTATATCATACATTTGGAAAATTATGAGCTTTATCATGCTCATAGACACTAGGGGTGTGACAATACACTTAGCTCACAAGGTGAGACAAAATACAGATACTTGGTTCACTAGAACGAGACAATGTTTTAATACTTTAAGAAATGTTCAAATGACAAAATATTTGTCTTTTAATCGCAAAAATTAAAATAATGCAGTTGTATTTTGAAATGTTTTAACTAATCTAGGGCTTAACTATTATTTTGCTAAACAAGTAATCTACTTATTGTAATACAAATAGAAGTGAAAAACAGACTTTAATATGACTATATTTATATATAAAGTAACGATGAGGCAATAATAATTGGCCTCAAATAAAGTATCAAAACCAAGTACATGGTTTTATTGAACAGCTGTTAAATACATAATGTAATATGCCCATATTATAACAAATACCTGCAGAGGTCACCAACGGCCTGGTGATGTTTCATGTATTTCAACGACATTTAAATCAATTTAATTTTAATATTTGGCCACATGCAAAGTCAGAAACTTTTATTTTGAAATCGCGATGTACAGTACATCGCATATTTAGAAATATGTTGATGATGAACGTTAAGCAACCCAAACTCACCGCATATGCAGAGGAAGAGTTTAGCCCCTTTCACACATAGTCTTTACTGGTAAATTACTGTTAACGGGATACCGTTAACGAGATCATGTGTGAACAGGACCTTTTCAAAAATACAGGTAAATGCATTCTGGCAATCATATCGTTCTTATGGAGATTACATGATTACTCTGAGCTGTTTACAAAGCTCTGCTGCTTTTTTTTTATAGCTTTTCTATGTAAATATGACGCTAGATGGAAATCTTTGACCATTGCGCCTCGCAGCTTTTTCAATGTGTCGCGCTCGAGACCCAGGCTTCTTTTCCATTCATCAGCTGCGACTCTACAATTGGAAACTAATGCGCGTCTCGTGTTTATAAGAGCAAAAACTTCTGATTGGCTAGTAATGTTAGTTTGGTTGAGAGTGAATGAAAGCTGTGTTCCTCTCATACATTGGTAGCCGAACTCATGAACTCGAACGTGATATCAAGTGTTTCTAATGTAGGAGTTTTTAAATGTAGGACGAATATCTTTTTTTCCCGCAGCCAAACGCCACACACCGGAGATCCGGCACGGGCCGGAGAACTTTAAGCCCTGAGTTAGTGGTGGGGGTTAGTCCTATCAAAACCTGAATGAATTAATAATAATTAATTCCCTTACAAATTTAAGTAATCAAGTTATTTACAAGGATGATGACGACGATCAATGGCACAAAACATGCGAGAGAGAGAGAGAGAGAGAGACTGAGCACGTCCTCCATCAAGTTAAGTCATGTTCATGAAAAAAAATTAGTTTGCCATGTCCTAAGAGTAATGTTGTCGTAATATCTTTTCAATGTTTAAGGGTAACGTACTCCCTTATGACTGGTGTCAGTGCTATAAAGTGAAGCATCAGCTTCAGCTTTTCCCCGTTGTTTATTCCAAACGTCATATGCTTTTGCCCAATGTCATATTAATGTCATTTTCACTGTGTGCTGTATGTAAAATGAGTGTTACCTTGGCTTTATTTGACAAAATGTCGTGTATCGACGATAGTTAGAGATATTGACGATAGCACGTCTTTGTCGATAGTCAAGACAATATTAGGCTCATTCTCCTATAAATATATTAAATTATTATTATTATTATTATTATTAGGCATCCTATTATAATTCGTGCAAATGAGGATTAGAGCCTGTAGCTGGTGAAGGAGTCTCCAACCACAAACACAGACGTACATCGTTTGCTGATATAAGGTATTTCATTGCATTTTAACAAGTAATCTGAACGGCTTATATATGTGCAATATTTTAACCGAGCCCTCACTAACTGAGTTTAACGCCACAGTTATGTTATGTTTATATTTAACGTGTTCGTTTATGTCCAATACTTAGTGTTAAACTGTTGGTCTTTAAAATAAATCTACTTTTGATTTTCACCACTGACTGCAGACCTTTTAGACCGATAACTTCCGTGCTCTGATGCGCCAAACTTGTCACAGGATGCGCGGTCCTAATAGCGATGTATGACTGTTGTATCCGAATATATATGAAATGGCTGTTTTAAATATTTTTATATTTAACATGTTAGTTTATCAGTATGTTTGAAAGTATATTTCGATTATTGGTGCTTTCATAGGCTCTCTCTCGCACACCCGCGCGGTTTAAAACACCACATAGGCTAGTTATGAAATAGCCTATGATAAGTACAGAGAGTCTCTCTCTTGCCCCCACCCACCCATGCACGCACGCACGCACGCACGATAATATCGTGTATCGGCGATCGCACGGGCTGGCAATATGACGATTTGAAAAATGACCATATCGCCCAACACTAATTCCCAATGCACACAAACTTCCCAGAATACTGAGTGCCCTGTTGGTTACAGTGTATACTTCCTTTTTAATTATATTTTTTATAAAATATTTGTTTATTTGTGAAAAATACTTTGCCATTTAAAGTATAAGCATGTTTATTTTACACATTTATTTTTTTTAAACCATTTTCAAATTTCTTAAATATTAAATAAAATAAATTATATCAGCTTTATATCGGCCATTGGCCCTGCTTTCCAAGATATCGGCATCGGCTGTCAAAAAAAAACAATATCGGTCGACCACTAAACTGAATCAAATATTTATAGTTCAATGCTCTGACTAGGGCTGTGCAATTAATCACATGCGATTGTCATGCGCATCTCTTCAGTAAAGCCGGTTCCGTGATTAGTAGTAAATCTCCATCACCTGCTTTCAGATTGAGTGGCATTCGATTATGAATGCGATATCACCTAGCTTGTCAGTGAACTACGGCTCTGTGTATTAAATGCCACTCCATCTGAAGGCAGGTGATGGCGATTTACTACCAATCACGGAACCGGCTTTACTGACGAGATGCGCATGAAAATCGCAT